GGCCTCACACAGGGAACGCTTAGGTGGAGGTTAATAGTAAGAAAAGCCAAGGATTAGGACACCTAAGATGTGGTGATGAGGGGCCAAGAAAGAGTATGTCAAAATACAAATGTGATCATGGAAAAAGTTGGTGTGATTCTCAAAGTAAAGACAAAAATCCCCTAGAAAGTCTATGTGGTCTCACCTCCATCTGTGCCTCCAGCTTCATTCCATGGCCCCAAACACAGCTTCTCTGCTCCAGATTCTTCTAGGCTCTCTTCCTCGACATATCCTTTCATATCATGTGGCCTTTTTACGTGGTCCTTTCAGATCAGAATACTCTTCCTATTACCTTCATCTCCTCATCTCACTGCTGTTGCATAGGAATCATAACAGATCCTCCAGTAGTTTTCGAGATTGTAAATTACATGGAAGAAGACTGCCCATCATTCTCCTATAGAACAGCTAGTGGATTTGAACCACTTGCCATTGAGTTGGCAGTGCAACTCATTACCCACTAGGCCACCAAAGTCCCCTTACTTTATTTTTTTTCCAAGGCATTCATAATAAGAACTTTTATTGGACGTCACAAGTACAATTTTTTTTTTTTTCAATTTTTTTAAAATTTAACTTATTATAGCACCAAGTGATCCTCCCAAAGATGTTCACTACGCAAATCTCAGTTCTTCATCAGTAATTCTGTTTTGGACACCACCATCAAAGCCAAATGAGATCATAAAATATTATTCTGTTTATTACAGAAATACATGAGGAATTTTCAGGCAGGTAAGATATGCATTTTCTCTTAATTTTAAAATATGTAACTATCTAGATCTTTTAGCTTTCTACAAGTTAGTGCTATGGAAGAAGTTGATTGACCTATGTTGCTAATTATGTACAGACAGATATTTTATAAAAATCCCATTGATGTAGGAAGTCCCCTTACTTTCATCTAGTTAACTATTATTCATCTTCTAAATCTCATCTCTAGAAAGCTTCTGATTTCTCATAATAGATCTCAGATGCTAAGCTCTCATAGCACTGTAAGTCTTTATTTAAGACAATTATTAGTAGCAGTGAAGCATTATATATATAAGCATGATAATTATTTTTCTCTTTCATATACTATAAACTTCTTAAACATGAGTATCAACATCTTTTGCCCATTCGTGATCGGCTTATCAGTCTTTTCCTTGTGGAGGCCTTATAGTATTCTTTTTTTTTTAAATGAAATGCATTGTTTCTTTTCCGTCAACCTTATTTCCACTTTTCAGTTTAAGACCATTCCGTGGTGGTACCCACCCACTCAGTGGCCTGAGCAGTGGGGGCTGAAGACCAGTCTTCAGTTGCAGGCTGAGTACTCCAGTCTTCAGTAGGGAACTGCTGAATCAGTACAGAGGGCACCTGGACACCTTCGGACCAGTCTGTCACTTCAGGCTGAGTAGCAGTGAATTCAGGAGCAGGGGCCGTCCATTCTCCCTGAAACTCCTCCTTGGTCACAGCCTTTTCAGCAGCAGCCTGTTCTTCCTTTTCAATCTCTTCCGGATCTCTGTAGAAGTACAGATCGGGCATGACCTCCCACGGGTGCTCCCAGGAGATCGTGCCACGCATGCACAGGGCTTCCCGGGCCAGCATCCACTACATCAGACCCACAGAGTGAGCTCCCTTGTTGTTGCACGGGATAGCAATGTCTACGTAATGCAGAGGAGAATCTGTGTTACACAGGGCAATGGTGGGCAAGTTAACATAAGATGCTTCTGTCAGAGGCTGGTGGTCAGCCCTGGGATCTGTGACCACCAGAAGATGAGGCTCGCGGAAGGCTGCCTGGATCTGGTTAGTGAAGGTTCCAGGAGTGAAGCGCCCGGCAATAGGAGTGGCCCCAGTAGCAGCAGCAAACTTCAGAACAGCTCTCTGGCCTGTATTTCTGGAGGATAGGACGCTGACATCAGCTGGATTTTCAATGGCAACAATGGCACGAGCAGCCAAGAGCAGCTTCTCCCAGGTCCTCTTCAGGTTTATGATGTAGATGCCATCACTTTTCCTTTTGTAGATGTACTGTTCCATTTGGAAGTCAAGGTTGGTGTGCGTTCCTGCTGCGAGGAATTTGAGGACCTCCTCCTCCTTCATCTGCAGGACATCAAGGGCTCCTGACATTGTGGAAGTTTCCCTTTTAAGTTATGACGGGAACCAGAACAACGCCGTATGGACCCTTGTGTGGGTAGCGTGGAAAGGCGCCTTATAGTATTCTATAGGTGGTTATGAGACTCTTGTCAGAGATGGCATGCCAAATGTTTTTTTCCATTCAGTAGATTTTCTTTTCACCTTATTGGAAAAAAGTTTTTGAAGCACATAGGACTTAATTTTTAGAAGGTCCCATTGACTGATTTTGTTTTCTCCTTGTTGTACATTTCTGGCGATATTTGCAATCCTGTTTATATCATAAGCTAGAGCTTCTAAGTTTGGTTCCATGTTGTCTCTTACAAACTTTCTGGTTTGGGGCTTTAACCCCTAGGTCTCTGATCCACCTTGAGTTGATTTCTGTGTATGGTGTGAGATGTAGATCCTGCTTTAGCTTTCTGCAGGTAGCGGTCCAGTTTTGCCGGCATCATTTGTTAAAGAGGTTGTTGTTTCCCCACTTGATAGGTTTGGTTTCTTTGCTCAATACCAGCTGATCATAGGTAGATGGGTTAATTTCTGGGTTCTTGATTCTGTTCTACTGGCCTATCTGTCTGTCATTGTGCCAGTACCATGATGTTTTGGTTATTATGGCTGGGCAGTAGGTTTTGAGATCAGGGAATGGTAAGCCTCTGACTTCATTCTTGTTTTTTCAGAAGTGCTTTCTTTGATGTCTCTTTCCTCTCCAAATAAACTTGCCAACATCTCCTTTTTATCTCTTTGAAAAATGAGTTTGGTATATGATTAGGATTGCATCAATCCTGTACACTGCTTTTGGTAGGACTGTCATTTTCACTAAGAATTCTTATCCATGAACAGGAACATTTTCCCCATTCAGTTAAGTTTCTTATTGTGTTTTGCAGTAGTGTTTTATAGTTTTCCTTATAAAGGTCTGTATGTCTCTAGTTAGGTTTCTTCTCAAGTGTCTCAATTTGTAGTTGGTTATTCTAAATAGTACTGCTTTCTTAGTTTCCTTTTCCATGTTTTCTTTGTTACTGTTGAGAAATCACATTGATTTCTGTATATTGATCTTATATCCTGCCACTCTACTAAATTGGTCTAACAGTTTTTTGGTTCAGTCTCTGGAGTTTTCTGTGTACACTATCATGTTGTCTGCATATAGCAACAGTATTACCTCTTTGTTGATTTGGATGCCACTTATTTCCTTCTCTTGTCTTACTGTCCTAGCAATACAAGACTTTTCACAAAGGAAGACATTTGGATGGCCAAAACACACAGCAAAAAATGCTAAAGAAGCTCCTCTGGCAATCAGAGAGATAGATGTAAATCACAACCACAATGGGATACCATCTCAGCGCAGTAGCAATAGCGAAGTTTAACAGAACAGCAAGCAATATATGTTGGAGAAGATGTGGAGAGATTGGAACTCTTATGCACTACTGGTGGGATTGTAAAATGGTACAACCACTCTGAAAGGCAGTTTGGTGTTTCCTCAAAAAGCTGAACGTAGAAATTTCGTATGACCCAGCTATTCCACATCTAGGAATATATCCCAAGTAAAATAGAACTGAGACTCAAATGGAAATTTGAACACCAATGTTCACAGCAGTATTATTCACAATAGCAAGAAAATGTAAACAGCCCAAATGCCAATCAACGAACATACAGATTTAGAAATTGTGGCACATTCACAGGATAGAATGCTAGGCAGTACTCAAGAGCAACGATTTAGAAAAATACTGTATAATATGGGAGAGGCTAGAGAGCATAATGTTGAGTGAATGAACTCAGTCTCAGAATGTCAAATATTATTGCATAAGACCATTATTATAAAAACAGAAGGATAACTAGTAAGATGTGTATAAAAGTCCAAAAGGGGGAAGGGAGGTAAGGGGGAGTGGATAGTGAGGAGGGGAGGAAATCACTAGGATAATAGGGTTTGGTTAGGGGTGGTGGTAAAGGAGTGAGGAAGAATCCAATAGGAACCTGAAAAGATGGGGTAACAGTATGCATAGATCAATGGAGATTAATTTTATAAAAGATGATATATGTGAGTGATTGTCTGAAACACAATGTGAATGAAGGAATGTGTGAAATGCAATGTATATGAATGACATGCAATGTATACAAAATCCGCACATCAACCAATATAAAACTTTAAAAAGCAAAAAAAAATTACTGGCAAAAGGCAAAACTATAATGAAAAACTGATTATTATAGATAAATGAAAATCAAAGCTTAAAAAAAAAGGTGAGTATCAATTTGTTTTTGTTCATTACGGCATATCCAGTACTCAGGACAGGACCAAACATGCATGAGTTATTCAATAAAGAATTATTTTTTGAACGAAGGAGTTAATTTTTTTTAAAGGTAAAAAGTAAAGAGATTTATTAGAAAGTTACATCCCAAAGATCGGATGGAAAGGAAAAGTGGAAAAGGATGTAAATTAAAGACAGAAAACCAGAAGGTGGGAAGGGCTGACTTTCACATGGTTCCTGTAGATGACAATGAAGATGGACAGGGAAAGACAGGCTTAGCTTCAAATATCCACCCTTCCGTTGGTCAGAAATTCCTCTGGAGTCCCAGCGAGTGAAAGATTCCAGTAATGTCTGACTGTTCTGACAGTATTAAAGACTGCCTTGGGATTTGGGATGGGGCAAAAGAAGTCACTATTCTGGACAGGGTCCATGGCCCAGTGTTTGGAGCTTCTGGGCTACCCACAGATTCTAAGTATCATACTCTCATCTTCTGCAGGTGAAGATCACCAGCTCCTCTCATGTATGCACACACTTCTTTCACCTCTTAAAAGTTTTCACACACTGCTCCTCTTCTCTCCTGGTGCCCCACATTATCCTCATCTCACCCTGGTACACAACCCCACTCACCTCTCACAGAAGGTATGCAGGCAAGGGAGAACTTTGGGGCACCGGTATCGATCAAGGCAGATGCTGCATACCAGGAACTGTTTGTCCATTGGCTGGACCTCTGGTCCAGGGCTATCTTCCCTCTTTGCCATGATGTCCACTGATAGTTTCAGCCACTCACACTAGCCTGTGAAAAGAGAGATGGTCAGGACCAGAATGGACAATACTCTTACTTTTTAATCAAAACTTGTAACTGGAAAAAAAAAAACCCAAAAAAAACCACCTTGTAACTGGAGCATGAGCAATGTGGGGAAGTCTGTCTGACTTCTACTCATTCCACACAGGTGAACTGTCCCCATCAACAACATCCACAGTACCAAACTAGTTACTACATGGTCAGAAAAGGTCTTCCACACTCCTGTACCCACTTTCACCATTTCAGACATCCATCTTACCAATAACTGTTAGAAATTTGTTGCAGTGACCACACAGACTCAATAGAACCATATTCATGGTTGTGGGGTTTATTAGGGACGTCAACAGGCTATAATTCAGAATGGCAGCAAGCAACAGTATACAATTCAGGATAAAAAAAAACAACAGTGTATAATCAATAACCACAGTTAACAGGCTATAATTCAGAAGAACAACAGGCAATCAATAACCATAGTTAACAGGCTGTATCATTGGCAGCAATGTATGGTAACTATAAAATCCTTCAGTTCTCCAGCAAGCTTGGGTGAAGCCCACTGGTTTGAGTCTGTGGAGTGGTAGTCCAAAGTCAGGTACATTCAAATAAACTAGCAGCAGTCCCAAATCAGACATCAAGTACATCAAGCCTTCTACAATTCACAACACTCATTACATTTTTTACAATATATCTTAACATTACATGCCGTTCATTTTAATTTTTACAACATACCCCAACATTACTACATAGAGAAAAAAATCAATACATAGACTTATGAGGAAATTCTTAATTTCATCTTTATTTTCTATCCTTTTGTCTCAGGCCAAAAAGTGACTTCTCAACTCTTCTATCCATTTAAGTAGCAGCAAAAATAACTTTTTAGGTGTACTTTCCAAGCGGCAAGTTTACAAAATCCCATGTTTCTATGAGTCAGGAATCACTGCAATGCATCTCACTGTAAAAGGAGCAATGGGGGGGAAAAAAAGAGCAATGGCAATGTGGAGAAGTCCAAGTCTAACATATACCAATTCCACAAAGGGGAACTGTCCCCATCAACATCCACAGAACCAAACTAACAGTTACAAGGTCAGAAATGGTCTCTCACATTCCTGCACCCACTTGCACCAACTCAAACACCAATCTTGTGGTTAACAAGCTACAATTCAGAAGAAAAAGCAACAGTATACATTCAATAACTGTAATTAACAGGCTATACAGGTTGACAGTAAAACACAATAACTACCCTCACAATTGCTGTGTGCAATATAGCTTGTGGAGGGTCCTTTTATTTGTACCAACACATTACTCTACCAAGCACACTGGTAGCAGTCCCTAGGGAGTTGTGCTGCTAACCCAAAGGTCACATCTCTCTAAAGGTTGGATTCTACCTGCGGCTCTGCAAGAGAAAGATGGCAATCTTCTCCTATGTGATTTATAGCCTCCAAAAACCCACCAGAAGGTCAGCTATGAGTAGTAATTCCACTTGAATTTCTTCAATTCCTTCCTCCACTGTCCATAAGATCAAAGTTCAAACTCCTGAAATTGGACAGCAAGGCTTACTTTTGCCTGGCTCACATGTTCCTCTACAAGCTCTGCGATCCCTGGATTCACTGATTCCTTGATCAACCAGCTATACGTTTCTTTTCAACTTCTGGTAGGCTCTTATTCTCTTTTGCTTCTGAGCTGTTTCATTCTTCTTCTGCCTAAGATTCTTTTCCTGACTCCCTTAGCTAAGTCCTATTTATCCTACAGATTGCCACACAAATGCCACATCTCTGTTTTTCTCACATCTCGGTTTCACTTCTATGTCCCTTATCAAAACCCAAACTCCTTGTTGTCGAATCAAATACAGCTCATGGTAACCTACTACCCAATCTGGTTTTCAAGTTTGTAAATCTTAATTGAGAAAACTGTCACATATTTTACCCATGGAGCACCTGGTAGGTTTGAACCAACAAACTTTCCATTTTCAATGCAACATGTAACTCACTACATCACCACTGGGGCTCCTCTGTGTCACCTAACATGCTTTATTTCCTCTGTCCTAGCTCTTATCACATCATACTAGTTTTCTTGTTACTTATTTACTTCTCCACTATGAGGAAAACTTCTCAAGGGGTGAAACTAGGTTGTGGTGTGTGGTTGTTGTTTTTTAATTCCAGGAAATAAAAAAATGTATTGCGATGGGAAAGTCTGCGGTTAGGGACCTCTCTAAAGTACTCAAGCGCAACGGTGTCTCTCTGGAGACTAAGGTCCGCCTGATACAGGCCATGGTTTTTGCAATCACTTGTTATGCATCAGAGAGTTGGACAATG